CCACCCGCCCCCCCATGACTGGGGGCAGGTGGGAAGGAGGAAGGAAGTGGGCCCCCGCACACTGCACTCCACCGCCCGCCTCCAGCACGTGTGATGGGGGGAGGGGGCAGTTCTATCCCTTCCCCCCACGCAGCCGGGAGAGCAGAGTGGGCTGGCACCGGGTCTGCCCCCTTCCCGCCGGGGCAGGCCCCCCCCCACTGCACTCCACCGCCCGCCTCCAGCACGTGTGATGGGGGGAGGGGGCAGTTCTATCCCTTCCCCCCACGCAGCCGGGAGAGCAGCCGCTTCCCGCCGGGGCAGGGGGGCGGGAGAGGTGTCTAACGGACCAGAGCGAGGGGGGGCTTCCCAGGCCTGACACTGACCTGTAGCCGCACGAGCAGAGCCTGGCCCCACCCCGTGCCTCAGTTTCCCCCTTGCTGGCTGCGACCACCGCTCTGGTTCCCAGAGGGACCCAAAGGATCCAGCAAGCCGGTTCCAGCCGACAGGAGGCGGGTGCCGTAGGAACACCCAGCCTCCGGACACAGGTCTGCCCGTCCCACCTCCGGCCCCGGCCTCTCACCCGCCCAGCAAGGCGACGCGCAGGTTCTCCTTGAAGATGGGGTTCAGCACCAGCCCCTGCAGGCCCCCCGGGAGCAGCTGGGTGTGCCAGAGCCGCAGCCCCAGCAAGAGCTCCCAGCTCTCCTCCTGCCACCCGCGTCCTGCTCCCTGCGGCGACAGCAACGTGCCGGTGAGCCGAGCACCCGCCGCCACCTCCAGGCTGCAGGGCAGGGGTCAGGAAGGGATCTAGCCAGGTGCATTATGGGGAAGCCGATGGGAAGCGCTGGGGGACTGGCTGAACTCATGGGATACGGGGGCCTTTCACCTCCAGGGACCCAGCCCCAGCTGATTTGGGGGGAAGGGGACTTTTTCCTCTAGGGGTCGCCAACTCCGATCCAGCTCCAGAGCCAGGGATGGGCTGACCCAGAGGAGTGGGTCACAGAGCCTTTCCCCTCTAGGAAGCACTGGCTCTGTTCTAGCCAGGGTAGGGATCAGCAGGCGTGGGGGGCAGGGAATAGGACATGAGGCCTTTCCCCTCTAGGACACACCAACTCCAATCTAGGGCGGGGGAACTTGGTGACTGGGGGGGGTGTCCGTGGGGGATCCCAGATCAATATCTGAAGTTCCATCTACCCTCCCTGACTCCCCCTCCACCTCCAGTTCGAGGACTCACTTGACATGTTCCTTCTTTACCCACAAGGCCACAGCCGCCTGGGGGAGGGGCTGCTCCAGGAAGAGCATCCGCATCACGTAGTTCTTAGCCAATCCCGGCAGCTCGCTGCGAAATACAAAAACTCAGAGACCAGCCCCCCCAGCGCATTCGACAGAATCCACCACTAAGCATCGCAATTAGGGTGCGTCCGGGCTAGACACGTCCTCGGGTCTGACCACAACGGGCAAGGCCAGGAGGCAGGATGCCAGGCTAGATGGGCCCATGGGTGTGATCTGGAGAGGTAGAGGAGCAGACGGGATACCGGGCTAGATGGGCTCATGGGTGTGATCTGGAGTGGTAGGGGAGCAGACGGGATACCGGGCTATATGGGCTTATGGGTGTCATCTGGAGAGGTAGAGGAGCAGACGGGATACCGGGCTAGATGGGCCCATGGGTGTGATCTGGAGTGGTAGGGGAGCAGACGGGATACCGGGCTATATGGGCTTATGGGTGTCATCTGGAGAGGTAGAGGAGCAGACGGGATACCGGGCTAGATGGGCCCATGGGTGTGATCTGGAGTGGTAGGGGAGCAGACGGGATACCGGGCTATATGGGCTTATGGGTGTCATCTGGAGAGGTAGAGGAGCAGACGGGATACCGGGCTAGATGGGCCCATGGGTGTGATCTGGAGTGGTAGGGGAGCAGACGGGATACCGGGCTATATGGGCTTATGGGTGTCATCTGGAGAGGTAGAGGAGCAGACGGGATACCGGGCTAGATGGGCCCATGGGTGTGATCTGGAGTGGTAGGGGAGCAGACGGGATACCGGGCTATATGGGCTTATGGGTGTCATCTGGAGAGGTAGAGGAGCAGACGGGATACCGGGCTAGATGGGCCCATGGGTGTGATCTGGAGTGGTAGGGGAGCAGACGGGATACCGGGCTATATGGGCTTATGGGTGTCATCTGGAGAGGTAGAGGAGCAGACGGGATACCGGGCTAGATGGGCCCATGGGTGTGATCTGGAGTGGTAGGGGAGCAGACGGGATACCGGGCTATATGGGCTTATGGGTGTCATCTGGAGAGGTAGAGGAGCAGACGGGATACCGGGCTAGATGGGCCCATGGGTGTGATCTGGAGTGGTAGGGGAGCAGACGGGATACCGGGCTATATGGGCTTATGGGTGTCATCTGGAGAGGTAGAGGAGCAGACGGGATACCGGGCTAGATGGGCCCATGGGTGTGATCTGGAGTGGTAGGGGAGTAGACAGGCTAGATGGGCCCACTGATCTGGTACGGGATGGCAGGATAACAGGTTAGATCCAGGCCAAAAATTCCTCCATCTCTCATAATCAGCCAACAACTCTTGACACCCAACTTAAGAAACATCCTCAAGTCGCCCATCCCCATACAAGCTAGTACAGCCCAACAGGCCTGTCTAGCTCAAATGCCTCTCCCCGGGGCAAGACACCCCCTAGTGGGCAATGCTGGAACAGTCCTCCCAGGCCTCCCCTTCGCCCCCCTCAGACCCAACCAGCCTTCCAGGGGGCTGGGGAGGGAGCCCACGCACCGGAACACAGCCAGGCAGGTGGCGGGATGGTTGTAGAGTCGATCCAGGATCCCCGGGCTCAGCCCCCGCAGGAACTCGTGCAGGTTCTTGCATTTCAACTGCACCCTCTGCAGCTTCATCACGGAGTCCATCACCTGGAAGGCAGCAGGGGAGACCATGGCAAGGGATGGTAGAAATCCATTGGTCATGGGAAACAGCCGAAAAACAAGGAGCTTGCAAGAAGGTTTATTTTCCCCCCAAAGAATTATTAGTTTTTACATTTTGGTGGGGAAAAAAACGTATGACTTAAATCTGACGGCAAATACCAGTGTCGTTTCGCCACTGCACACAACTTCCCCCTTTTGTGGTTGGTTGTTGAATGCACTTTACCTGTACGCTGCACAGCATACGCTGTTAAACTGCTTCTGGCAGATAGGCATTACTCAGTGAGATACAAGGGTTTGTGTTTTAATGCCACTTCAGCCTCCGGGCGGGAGTCCTGCAAGCTATGCAAAGATCTAACAAACCTACAAACCCCCTCTCCAGCCCCTGAGTTTGGCGAGGACAAATTTCAGAGGGGTAGTAACAGGCTGTGCTCTGATGTAATGCAGCGGGGCTGGCGGATGGTGTTCGAAGGCAGAGCATTGTGGCGTGCAAAGACCAAATGGAACGAAACGAAACAAAAAGCGCGTCTGACACAGCAGGGCCACCGACCACAATAAAGACACGAAGCACCGTGAGCGGAGGGCGCCAGGGTTTCGCAACCGGAACAATGTCAAAACTGTGTTCCACCAACACCTGGGTTATGTCTACACTCGGGGCTTCTTGCGTGAGTAAGATGCAAACGAGGCTAAGCGTGGAATATCGCCGAGCCTCATTTGCATACCGAATGAGCCACCGTTTTTTTCAGAAGAGGCTCTTGCGCAAGAAGGAGCGTCTACACAGCCCCTTCTTGCGCAAGGAAAACCCTCTTGCGCAATGCCGGTCTTCCTGAAAAGTAATAGGTGTATTCGATTTGGAGAATGTGGTGGTTTTATCATGGAAAACGAGGATCCTGGACCATGACAGAGGCAAGGTCTATGTCAGGTAACCCACCCTGACCTGCCAGGTATGCTGTCTCCCTCTACGCTCTCTCCGGTTCCCCCTGCATCTCTGGGGTCGGGGATCTGACCCCTCGCTGGGTTATTATTTTAGCCCCAGCACTAGATGTTGGGAGTCACAGCAGATAAACTCCCAGGCCTGATTTCTAGAAGGGGTATTACAGGCAGTCCCCGGGTTACGTACAAGATAGGGACTGTAGGTTTGTTCTTAAGTTGAATTTGTATGTAAGTCGGAACTGGTACATATTGTAGGGGAAACTCTAGCCAAACATTTCTCCAGAACTCAGTTTTATTCTCCCACACCTCACTTCGCGTCTCCCTGGTCTGCTGGGGGTGGCGCTAGCTTCGCGTCTCCCTGGTCTGCTGGGCGGGGGCGCTAGCTTCGCGTCTCCCTGGTCCGCTGGGGGGAAGCAGCTAGTGCGGGGTTGCCTCACCCCGTTTGTAAGTAGGGATCCGATGTAAGTCGGATCCATGTAACCCGGGGACTGCCTGTATATGCATAATGGTAGCACCCAGAGGGGCGGTACAAACTAGGGATGTTCACGTTAAAACATGTAACCGTTTAACTGATCCGCTGATGCTTATCGGTGACTTAAACGTTTAAACTCACCTGCTGGTACCCTGCTGGTGGCTGAAAGTGCACGGCAGCAGGGCCAGCAGCTGGAACTCCACCGCCAGCTGGTGACGGGGCTGGCTGCTGGGATCCCAGGAGGTTGGGAGTATGTCTACACTACAGAGTTTGGTTGGGAAAACGGCCGTTTTCCCAAGAAACTTGAGGCAGATCCACACTGCAGTTGCGTTCTTCCACAAGACAATGGAAAGAAGAGAGGGTTTTTCCGACATTGGTAATCCTCGTTCTACGAGGGAGAAGCCTTTTTGCGAAAGATCTTTTTCGGAAAGAGGCGTGTGCGGGCGGGGAAGAGGGAGTTCTTTCGGAAGAAGAGGAAAGAGGAAAAAGCACAGGTGCCCTGGTGGCCACGCCGTCCATAGTAATCACAGCTTACATGTGAGATAGCGTCCATTCAGTGTGGACACTCTCTTTCAAAAAGCAGATGGCTTTTTCGATGCACTTCGGCAGTGCGGATGCTTTCTTTCGGAAGAAGTTTTTTCGGAAGATCTCTTCTGAAAAAAGCTTCTTCCGAAAGAAGCCTGCAGTCTAGACGTAGCCTGACTTTCTGCTGGCGACCTTTCCTGCCCTATCACGACATCCCCTCAAATGTTTAACTGATAATTCAGTTAATGTTTCTCTCCATTTTTTAACATCCCTCATACAAACACGCAAGTCCGTCGCTCCATCTCTTCGGGGAGGCGCACTGATTTGTTAGTTTATTATCTGTCGTCCGGTAGCACCTAGGGACCCAGACATACCCTAGACCCCTCTGCTGCACAAAGAGGGCCTCTGCCCTACGGAGCTGATAATCTGAGCCTAAGAGAAGAAATAGACGGGCAGGGAGCACCCAGGAACAAAACAGCGCCACTCAGCAACTCCAGCGCACCAGCAGCTAAACCACAGCCAAATGATTAGAGGCATGGCAAAGCGGGCATATCCCATCACTTTTTTTTTTTTTGGTTCACCCGACGTACGTGCCTCAGTTTCCCTCTGTGCTTTGCATTGCTGCCGAGCAGGGGCAGAATCGGAGACACAAGGAACGCCGTTGCCTGCTTGGTGTCCGGGGAGGTCGGAAGGGAGTCGTTCAAGGCCAGCATGTATCCATGGAAACCCCGATGGAAACTGGGCTGGGGCGAGGGGAGCCAGCTTTCGAGAGAGGCCGGGCTGCTCTCAGCTGGGGCTGGGAGGGGGTCTGCATTGGAGTTCACCGCAGCTTGGCCAGAGGGATTATGTCGTAACCTTCACTGGTCCACGCTAACCTCAGGACTTTTTCCATCTCTAAACCTGCTATGGTTCACAAAGGCTGAGACACAGTTTGGGGTCCCTGGAGAGCGTTTTCCATCTCTAAACCTGCTATGGTTCACAAAGGCTGAGACCATAAAGTCTCACAAAGTTCACAAAGTCTGGGGTCCCTGGAGAGCACACACATCTCCACCAGGAACCTAATTGTGCAGAGCTCCCAGGGAGAAGCAAGAAGGAACCTAATTGTGCAGAGCTCCCAGGGAGAAGCAGGAAGGTCTAAGGGCTGTGTCTACACTGGCATGAATTTCCGGAACTGCTTAAAACAGGATACTATTCCGTTTTCAGTTTTTCCGGAAAAGGAGCATCTACACTGGCAGGCTGCTTTTCCGGAAAAGCCCTTTTTCCGGAAAAGCGTCTGTGGCCAATGTAGACGCGCTTTTCCAGAAAAGAGCCCCGATCGCCATTTTCGCGATCGGGGCTTTTTTCCGGAAAAGACTACTGGGCTGTCTACACTGGCCCTTTTCCGGAACAGCGTTCCGGAATAAGGACTTATGCCCGAGCGGGAGCAGAATAGTTTTTCCGGAATAGCGGCTGATTTTGTACAGTAGAGCGTCGGTGCTTTTCCGGAAATTCAAGGGGCCAGTGTAGACAGCTCGCAGCTTATTCCGGAAAAGCGGCGGATTTTCCGGAATAAGTGACCCAGTGTAGACACAGCCCGGAGGTTTGGATTCAGAGGAAAAGGGGGATCTATTGTGAGTCTGGCCCACAGACGGGGACTGGTTAAAAGCTGGGGGCGTAGCACCCTGGGGTGAATCCCCAGCCACACTGGGTCAGACCAAAGGTCCATCTAGCGCAGGGTCTTGTCTTCCAACAGAGACCAATGCCAGATGCCCCAGAGGGAGTGAACAGAACAGGTAATCATCAATTGATCCCTCTCCTGTGATACATTTCCAACCTCTGACAAACACAGGCTAGACACACCATCCCTACCCATCCTAGCTAATGGAGAAGGGAATGAAGTAAGATGAAGGGGTAGCTCTGGAGACTGGGGCACAGAATGATGAGGGGTTTGGAATGGGTCCCATAGGAGGGGAGATTAATGAGACTGGGACACGTCATCTTAGAACAGAGGAGACTAAGGGGGGGGATAGGATAGAGGTCTGTAAAATCATGACAGGTGTGGAGAAAGCGAAGGAGGAAAAGTGATTTACTTGTTTCCATCACATAAGAACTGGGGGCAAATGAACAAATGAAATGAACAGGCAGCAGGTTTCAAACAAAACAAAAGGAAGTTTTTCTTCACACACAGTCAACCTGAGGAACTCCTTGCCAGAGGATGTGGTGAAGACCAGGACTTCAACAGGGTTCAAAAAAAGAGCTAGATAAATTCACGGAGGACGGGCCGTGGTGCTGTCCCTGGCCTCTGTTTGTCTGGAGGTGGGCATCAGAGGAGGGATCATTTTGATGATTCCCTGATCTCTTCATGCCCTCCGGGGCACCTGGCATTGGCCGCTGTCAGAAGACAGGAAAAGGCTGAATGGCCGCTCTTATTCTTCTCCCCAGCATGAGGGGCAGAAAGCACAAAGGCGAAACGTACCAAACCAATGCAAGCTGGGAACAAGGGCCGACGGGAGGCCGGAGCAGAGATCTCCAAGGGGAGGGAAAGATGACAGGTCAATGGGGCGAGGCAACACATTTGTGGGTGGTCTCAGCCTGTGAGCCTCAACTCTTGCGGGTGGCCGCTCTGACAAGTTTTTCCTAAAATACTTAATTAGCTCCAGGGGAAAAAAACCAAATAAATACGCACAGCTCCATCTCCCAATCACTGGCTCTTTTTTATGGTGCCGGGTTTGGTTTGCTTTGCAGGCTCAATAATACAAATATCTATTTTTTACTGGGCCTATGCGGATAAGAAACACAGATCAGGTGCTTTGCATGTTCTTGTCTTACGCTTTTGTTTCGTTGGTGGGTGGCTTTCTTTCTGAAGGCTTGCTAGCTGCTCAGTCTATTCCCATGAAAAGGGATATTTGCATGCTTGTTATGATCGCTTTTCAGCAGGGCAGCTGACTGGCTCACTGGCTGGGGCGGGGGAGGCTGCAAAAAGTGATTTGAGCAAACATACAACAATCCATTTTCACAAAAGACTTGCTCAAATGAAGGGGGACAAACGGAGCCCTGGATGGGGAAGTGGGGGCATGGATGGGGGGCCAGGAAGGCAGCATATGCGAGGGGAGGGCTCGGAGCCCATAGCCCCACAGCTGGAGCAATGTCAATCCAATGCTCCCCATCGGTGTTCCCTCTAATTTTTTCCATCTGTGTGTAGAATACATTTTGTGCCATGCACCACGACATGTACAGATGTGCACCACCAGTCGAAATACATGCTGCCGGCTAGGGGTGCTCTGCTAATCAGCTGGGAGGTGTCTGAATCTTTTCTGGGGGGCTGCCCAAGGGCTCAGCTCACAGGGTCCCCATTCAGGCCCCTTGCTCCCTGGCCATCTCCCGTCTGCCCGACCTGCTACTGGAAAGGACCCCTCTCTGTCCCCACCTATATCCCTAGGCTCTGCCCCCACCCACCCGGGGGGGGCCTCCCTGCCCCTAGACCCCAATCTCCCCTCTCTGCCTCCACCACCTGTATCCCATGGGTCTGCCCCCTCCCATCCCAGAGCGCCCCTGTCTGCCCCCATCTATAACCCTAGGCTCTGCCCTCCCCCTTCCACCCCACAGGGGCCCCCTTTCCATCCTGAAGCTCCCCTTTCTCCCCCAACCAAACCCCTAACCCTCCCCCCTCAGGGCACCCTTTCTGCCCCCAGACCCCCAACTCCCCTTTCTGCCCCCCTCTATACCCCTAACCCTCCCCCCC